AAGGGATACTCAATCTGTTTTGCTTTTTATGCCTTAATAGGTTATTTAGCTTTATTTTACATTAAAAAATGTGGGAAATTTGATTTCGTATGAGCAAGTCATGTCAGATATATTTCATTCTCTTTGCCTGGGTTTCCAGAGACTAGTAGTTGAGAAAAAATGAGGTTGTTGCAGTGTGTTTGATCTTAATGCAAACATTGGATAAGTACCTCTCTTAGCATTCTGAATCAATTATACAGTCTCAGTACTAAAATGATTCATAGGATTTTTGGAACTGCCTGAAGGACTAGCCCAGAAGATGATCAATTGGTGAGGTGTCTGTCCAGAGATATCTTACAAGGAGGATATCTTGTAGGAGCTTCTGCTGGATCAGTGCATCAAAATAAGATCTATAAAACAAGTTGATCTCATTTGTTTAAGACAAAGTTGGAAGAGCTGGTGAGATAGCTCAGCAGACTAAGCGGCTTCTTAGGCAAGCTCAGGAACCAGGGTTCAATCCCTGGTCCTGCATGCCGCACTGGCTCCACCCCTGGCACAGGACTGACCGGGTCTGGGTATGGTGGTGCACACCTGTAATCCTAGCGCTGAGGAGGCTGAAAATAGGAGGCTCACTTTGAGTCTGAGCTACTTAGTAAGACCCTGTACCAAATAAATAAAATTGAAAAAAAGGGCACAAAGTTGGGAATTGAAGACCAGTTCAATGAGCTAAAGCTAATATCAGGAATTTTTTTTTTTTTTTGTAGTGCTGGAGATTAAATATAGGGCTTCACTATGATAGATAAATGCTCTAGCACTGGATTGCATCCCCAGATATTAATTAATTGATTCATTAATTTGAGGGCACTAGAGTTGGAACTCAGGATCTTTGCCCTGAGCAACATGCCCAATTCTTTTAAAATTTTTTTCTATCTTGTGACAGGGTTTCATCAAGTCAATTAGTTGCCTCTTGAATTTGTGAGCCTCTTTTAGCCTCTCAGAGTTTGGAGATTGTAGTTGTATGCCACCATGCCTGGATTATTTTTTATTTTAAGATAGAGTCTTGCTGAATTGTTCATGCTGGCTTTGAACTTATGATCCTCTTGCCTCAGCCTGCCAAGTTATAAGGAATATAGCACTGCAAACTTTTATAGGAATAAACGTAAAGGTAAATGTCATCAGCTGCACCTAGGCATAATGGTATGTGTTTGTAATCTCAGCTGCTCAGAAAGCTGAGTCAGAAATGAAAGTTAGAGACCAGTCAGCTTAGTAAGACCCTATCTCACACATACACATACACATACACATACGCATACGCATACAAAGTGCATGCAGAAGGCTCTGTGTACAGCCTCCAGTACTGCCACACAAAAACAAATTGGGGTTGGGTGAGATAACTCAGCAGTCTAAGCGCCTGCCTGGCAAGTGTAAGAACCTAGGTTTGATCCCCCGTACCCAGTACCACATGCCATGCTGGCCTGGGGATGCCTTGCTGGCCACCAAAACCAGGCATTGTGGCACACAGTGCTTGGGGTGCTGAGACAGGAGGATCAATACAAGTCTGAGCTGCATAGTGAAGCCCTGTACCAACCCCCCTAAAAAAAAGTTCAGAGCAAAACAACAAAAGCCCCAAAGAACACCCCCTCCCCAAACCACCACAAACCCAACTAGATAAGTAGAGGTTTCATAATTTAAGAGCAGCATGTGTGAGATGGATTTATATTTTTTATTTATCTATTATATGCTCTTTGAGCTAGCATGTGTGAGATGGAGTTTTTATTTATCTACTATATGCTTTTTGAGCTAGCATTGTAAAGTGATTACAGAATGGTTACTGAAAAGCTAATGTTATATACATAAATATCTAGAATTTTTGACAACTTTGATGATATTCTCTCTTTTTTGTAGTTCTGAAGATTGAACGTAGTCTTATGTATGCTAGGCAAGTGCACAAAAATTAAAAAAATTTAAGACCTAGTCTTTGTCAGTTACCTAGGCTGGCTTTAACTTATGTTTTTCTTATATCAGCCTCCTGAGTATCTAGGATTACACACATGTGTTACTGTGCTCAGCTGCCAGTTACTCTTGTTGAGTTCCTGGATGCTTCTAGCAGATATATAATTTTATTGAGAAAGAAATAGCAGTGAGTACATTGTATATTGTTGTCTTCATAGTAGTTATTCATAGTACAAGATGCAGACATGGTATCTGGTCTAAACACTATTACTATTACTACAAATCTTTCTTCTCATTGAACTAAGAGACAATTACTGTATATCTATCGTAATTTGTATATACAGATATATATCTTTTCACCACAAAATGATCCTTGATTTATATCCCCCTTTTTTGTTTAGTTTTGTCAGAGATGGGTATTCCATTGCCATTCAAACATTGTAGGTGTGTGAATTCAGCAAAATAATCCAATTTAGTCCAGTAGACCTTAATAGTAGTGGGTTATCCACAGGACTGGCAATGTAAGAAGTTGTTGACTTGAGCATTTTACAGCTCAGCATATTAATATGGCTTTACTTTTTATACCTTGTGTTTGTACTTTTCTGCTGGATGGTTAAGACCAAGTTAAAGCAAGACCTATATAACAAAAAATGTAACTTTTGTGTTTTACAGGGTCAGTCAAATCCCCTCAGAATTTACCCTGAAACGATGAACAGCACTTGTAGATCTTTTAGTGATATATGTGCACCTGTGTTTATAACAGCACAATTTGTGATAGCCAAATCTTGGAAGCAACCAAAATGCCCTTCACCTGAGGAATGGGTGAAAAAGATATGGTGTTTTTATACAATGGAGTATTACTCAGCTATAAAGAATGATAAACTCAAAGTTAAAATATATTTTATTGTGAGTACTACATTTCTAGGCAGAAGTAGACAAACTGGACTATAGTAGAATCCAAGGCAGGCAATTAGTGTTGTAAATAACTTGTGATCATAAAGAATGACATTGAAAAGAACTAGGAGTACTTGCACATAAAAAGAGAGGATTTGGGAGATTATCACCCATTTACAGAACATGAAGGAGGAAGTAGCCCCAAGAGCTCTTGGGTAAATCTCCAGGAGTACCACATTGACCCAGCATAAGGAGGAAATTTACACCAGCACAGAGAGCGAGGGCTTCTGTCCTTGCAGGTCAGCTGGTTGATTGACCCTTGATTTAACTGTTATAGAGAAGGAATATATGGGGTTAATCAAGATAATGTGTAAAGCTCTTCAATTTTTTTAATGTATCTGGTTTTATTTATAATTTTGTCTTATTTCCTTGACTGTTACAGATTTTAGAGGTGCTTCTGCAGGTCTTGCATGTTCTTTTGGGAATGTGCCAGGCCTTAGAGATTCAGGAAAAAGGTATGATAATGGATCTTTAAGCCTTTCTCTTTTTTCTTTTCTTTTTTTTATTTTAATGAGAAAAAAGATAAAATACCAAAGAAATAGTTTCAAAACAGGTCAGTAGGACAGTTACAATAACTAATACATTGCATATTGTTGTCTTCATGTTAGTTATTAAGAGGACAAGATGCAGACATGATATCTTGTCTAAACAATATTAGTACAAACTTTTCTTTTCAGTGAACTAAGAGAAAGTAGCTGTATATTTATCCTATCTTGTATATGCATATATATATTTTTTCACAACAAAATGGTCCTTTATTTGTATCTCACTTTTTTGTTTTGTTTTGTCAGAGATGGGTATTCCATTGTAGTTTCTCTTTTTTCTTCCATTTTCCTTTTTTTCCTCTCCTTTCCTTCCCTTCCTTACTCTTCCCAGTGATTACTGTTTCCCTTGTTTTTTTTCAAAATTTGTTCTTTTCTGTTTTTTGGTAGCTATATGCACCTGATAGATGAAAACCTTTATATATTATATTATGTTTGTTATGTGTTAATGTATTGAGAGGCCATTTGAGGTTCTGGATATAGTTCTTTCTGCACACAAATGTCTGATGGCATTGGATGAATAACTTTTTCTTCTGACTCTCAGTTTCTTCACCTGTAAATGTATGTGGGTAAGTTAGTTGATTTATAAAAATCATTTTTTCCCATAGTATAAATAAGGCTACCAGTATAATCTTATATTATTTGAGTCAAAGCACCTGATAACATAACAAATGTATTATTCATTTAGGTGGTCAGAAATAGATCTAAACCTCCTAAGGAAAGTAGCTGTGATGGAGAGATAGTTTAAAGTTACTGTTTTTTTTTTTTTTTTTTTTTTTTTTTTGGCCGAACTGAGGATGGAACTCAGGCCTTTCCGTTTGCTAGGCAAGTGCTTACTCTATGAAGTTATTGTTAATGACAGAACTTGGGACTGTTATTGGTGGGTCAACCCACACATTATTGTGAATCTTTACATTTGTTGATGGGTGGGTTATGAACTATCCAGTGTCGTAAGTTAGTATTGTGTGGCCTTCTCAGAGCTATCATCTCATGTTGTAATGTTCTCACCTGATCTTTTATGTTCTCACCTTATCTTCTAGAATACCTTTGCAAGTATGCAATCC